GTTTACAAGCAACTATTTGACACTTTTAAGAGCCTTTTGAGCGGCCTCGTATTTAATAGAATTTATTACACTTGACTAAATTTTCCTCGAAAACAGTGCCATACGAGGTGCAAGGCAGTGAAAGTCGAAAAGTGTGGAACTGGTGCGAAAGATGGCATACGAATTTCCATTCGGAACTGCCCATCAACGGAAAACTAAAACGGGACTTCCTTTTCAAGTTCCGTTTCTACAGGGCATTTTTCAGTAGAAGGCACCGAAAAGTCGTATTTCGTTCTCAACAAGTCATTCCCAGCCAAAATTTCCGGGCCTTTTGTTGGTCGTTTTGGTAAATATAAAACAACTCACAATTCGGCGAACAGACCAAAAACAGATTTGATCAGTTACAGAAAACGAAGAGAATACAATGGACCAATCAGAGCCGGAAGCAGAACACCCCCGCGACTAATGTCGAGCGCGAGAAAACACGAGGACATCAGCTGATTCATTTCGAACACGCACGTGCAGCTGGAAACTCAAATCCAAGGAATTTCTGTTAACTTCTTGTTCTTCACTTAAGTTTTGTTTTAATTTGATAATTTCTTTCTTTTTTTTTTTTTAGAAAAGTCACTGTTCCATCGTCCGTCATACGTCGTGCTCTTGTCATCAGTGAATTATTATATACTTCAGAAAGATTTCAAATTTAATTGATTCTCTTTTCTATGTTCCTCATTTGGTTTTACCCAGTGGGAAAACATAAATCTTTTCTAAGTGACCTGAAATGGAAAGTGTAATATTTTACGAGTATGACCTGAATCGGTCGCGAACCTTACAGCTTTTGTCTCGGTCCTCTTTGTTCTTCATTTGTCTTTTTTTTCTTTTTTTCTTTTTTACCGTTACTTCAATTATACTGCGGTGGGAAAATATTGTTGGAGAGGTCCTTTGTAAATATTTTATCAATTCTAACTGATAATGCTTTATACATATTAGAGTTTCCCATGTACGACATCTTTTTTAATGTGCCGTCAGACAGATATCGGAGCGAAAATGTAAACGTTGTCTGTTCCGCTTAGGAATCCATTTTGTCTTGTTTCTGAGAGAGAGAAAAGAAAATAATTTCTATATACGGTGTAGTTGAAGTCCATACATTTTAGATATATCCGCCGGAACGGACACCAAATTTAATAAATTTCCGACATCTTCAAGAATTTAAATTGATTTCAAGAGTTCGAGCGGCAACAATACAAGTAAAATATCTCTGTTTAGAATCTCAAACCAACCTCGTGGCGATGTTTAAGTGTCGGCCCAATGAGATACTTATTCGTATCCGTCAAATAGTGTATTGTAACGAATCGTTAATATCTTTCGACTTCCTTTGGGTACGCGTGGGTTATTTTAGGATTGGTTTTTGCCATTTAATTAACCTTTCCTTTTTCTTATAAATTGGAAGTCTCTATACCTGGAGAATTTGTTTCTTCTGAGACACGTCACAGCCTATTTTCAAAAGTAAGTATATAACTTTTGGAGGTTCGTTTTAAGTCTTACGTAAATCAATTTACATTACCATCCGGCTCAGCTGCTCCACGGCTGAACTGTTTTACATCCATAGCATTTTTTTCTCTACATTCATGTTCTCGAACGATCTTCTTCCAGTTTGCTACTTAAATCTTATTTCAATCATGCTAATAAGCTTTTCAAAATGTCCTTTCCAAAACGTACATTGCTGACACATTCAATGAAATTAGAAACAGGTTAGGCCTGATCATGACCATGAGGTCATTGGGGCACGGCGCCAATACAGACGCGGACCCATACCGGTTTCAACCGTTTTATGAAAGTCGGTTATGATTTTCAGTATCACTCAGAAACCTGAGAAAGGGGTTTTAAGGGAATTAAAATCTCAAAAATGTCCTGGGGGGGAAATGGCCCCAGACCCTCCTGGGAGCTTGCGCCTTCGGTGCTCGTTGTATCATTTAGATCCGCGCTTGTAAAAGGATTCCAACATTATTGTTTTGTCTATTTCCGAAACTTAAAGATTGTGCAAAAAAGGCCAGAAAAAAACATTTTGAAAACGGAGCATTCCGAAAACGATGGCGTCGTGATAGTCATGTGATTTCCCTGAACGAGTTTTTTGTTCAAACGCAAATCCAAAATGACCGGTGATTGTTGCGTTTTTAAATTCCTCCGGCGTAGTGTGGACGGAAAACATGTACGTTTTCAGAATGAAGCCTTCGTTTTTAAAGTCCTCCGGCGTAGTGTGGACGTGGCCTTGGTTTCCCTCTTGCCGAACTTCGAATAATTACCTGTTATTCTGTTATTCAAACTTTTTTCTAATACTTTTAACCATGAGGTTTGAGATGTTGCTTTCATTCTCACGGTCAGTATGGGCGTAAAGCCGTAGTCAAATACAATCTCAAGAGCTTATTAAGTTTAACTTGGAATCTGAGGCGCACGACAATATTTACTAAATAATCATTGACGCAAAAAAGTCAATATGCCAGAAATAACCGAATATAGCATGGCGCAAATAACTTGAAAGGAGATAACGCGATACTGATAACAGATTTGTCCATTAATTTTGCTTCAATTACTTTAATTGATCTTCGGTGAATACGTTCTTATGCCGCACAACTGACTACCCAGTACTACCCAAGAACGTACTTAAGCATAGTATATAATACGAGAAACTAAAAATATTTCGGGCACAATTATAGGCCTGTCATCAGCGGGAATAGTAAAAAAATTCATCGTATCGTGCAGAATGCAAGTAAAGGCAGGTTTTTTTATATTTTTGACCTGCATAGTCAACAACAAGTTGTATCGCACAAAAGTTTACAATGAAAGTGCTTGGTTTATGTTTAGTCTTTCTTCGAGCCAATAGAGTCAGGATACATTGCATATGGCGTATGCAGAATTCATCTTAAAAAAGAACGCAAAAATACATAAAACAGTTTAAAACTAATGGTACCCTAGTCAAACAATGAATAAAAGGAGAATTTTTGTCGACTGATTTTAAGAGCTTTCCAATGTATGCTATTCGTTATGTCTGAGGCTTTTCATCGAGTACGCATATTTGTATCCCTGTACAACGGGTGAAGGTCTAAGTGTACTGAGGTTTTGTAAGTTGAAGTTTTTCAGGAGATTTTAATTAATTTTCTGTAATTTCGCGTTGGGCTCGTCGTTCAGTCGATGATGATATCCTAAATCTTTGCGCCGCTACTTCGTCAAATTTAACATGATTAATTTGTAGGGTTGATATTGTTACTGTTTCTCTTTTTGTACATGGTCCTCCCGCAGAGCATTTGATCAATTTCCGGAACTAAACAACAAATCTAAAAATATAATTTTGAACTATTTTTGAAACACGAAGTTTCTTCTTAATTCCACATAATCAAAATTACCTGTTTATTAATGAACTTAAAAACTATTTCATGAAAATATCCCTTCCTGCACCTTCAACATAAGGCAGCATGCGTTAATTTTTTTGTGCCATATCACTGCTAAATTTAAAAGACCAAAATTAGACCGAGAACTCGTCGCAAGATAACTTGGTAATGCCCTGACAACACCATTGTCTCGCTGTTAAACCGTTTTGTTAACTTTTTGCTGTTAAAGCTGGCGACGACCAGAACGCGCACCTTCTACGTCACGTGGTATCATATAACCTTTAACATGACCATTTAGAACACCCCAAACTAATAGCTGTAACCCACGTGTCATGTCATCATGGTAACGGTCAGCCAATAAAAACTGAAAGGTCGTGAATGAAATCACGCTTCGATCGATCAGTAGGTTGTCGTCTTGAAGCAATATCTACAACTTGTAGCGTGAATAACAGAACCAAATTCATTACAAGTTAAGCCAGGGCGACACTTGCGCTAACACTAATGTTAGCATACTTTACTTGAAAACTTTAAGTTGGTCGATGGAGGATTCTGAAATATATTAAAACGAAAAAACATGATCAGTGTTAGGAGGGGAAGACGTGCATACCATCACGACAGATAAAATAAAGTCTTTGAGACTTGAGACTTTCACAGATAAGAAATTTTAAATTTAGTTGGGCATTCGTGATATTATCACATTTTGTATTATATTCGACAAGGGTACCCTTTTCGTTGCCGCCCAAGTGGATAAAAAGGGTTTTTGGATATATTTTCCGCAACGTTATCTAACAAATTTGTCTTAATTTGTAAAGAAATTTGGTTGTTTTTTAAGGCTTTGGGCTAATTAAGCCAAAACTTAATTACTTACACATTTGTTATATGAAATCCTCTAAAACGACCGACCTTTACGAATATTCCAGCGAAAGGATTACTTTTTGTTGACCTATGGAATATTTATTTTTTCTTTCCAAAGAAGAACACTGGCCTCTTGGTTTGAGCAAGAGAAACTTCTTGAACTGTTTATTTTTCTTTCTTGGAAGCCTTTCGACTTTCCTATGACTGTTTCAAGCAATTTTTTTGTGTATATTTTAAGGCAGGAAATGTTGGGAAAAAAGTATCTCGGAAAATACATTTCTAAGATAGAAATAAAGAAAAAGCAATCAAAATGCTTCCTATAAAGAAGAAAATAATCATCATTTATTAACTTCCCACCGGCGTAAAACCTTAATAAACAGAATACTAGTACAATAAACTCGAGCGTTGAGAAAAGTGTTGCAAATATTGATCCATTTTCCAGTTGACATTTTAATGTCTACATTCGTTGGGTTCATAATATTGTGTTAAATGGTTTAAGTGTTTGTTTCTCGACAGCTGCTTCAAATGTGTAAATATTATTAAACGAAACCGACTTAAACTGCGTCAGCAAACCACCCCAGGGAAGGTTTTTGACGCATAATTGAAAAATTTTTGTTAATTTGCCGGCTCAGGGCTATCTTTTGTTTTAAGCTTTATTTTGTAAATAAAATATAGTTTATTTTTTGTATATATCATGCACGTTTCCGTTTGTCATGGCAAGCGGGATATTAAATAAGAATGCGTTGTTCTTTTTTGCCTCACATTTTTTACGACTGAAGTGCAAAAGAACCCATTGACTTAAGGCGAGGGGTAACATTCCTTTATGCTTTCGTGAAAAAGACGTCTCGTCTACACAGTGAGTAGATACTGTTTAAACACTTACGAAACTCTGAAGTCTTTAACAAGTTAATTCCATCATTTTTTATACATAAATGTGTTACTGAAATGTCTGTTAGGAATATTTGAAGACAGCCTATATGTTTTTTGTATTGAATCGGCGCTGCCCCTAAAGCTAAGTTTACAAAAAATTCATTTCTCATGAAAGGGTTTTCGCCGTTACAGTTTTTTGATGTGAGTAGAGGGACGCTCGTTTCAGTATTGCCTCTGTTTGAGGTCATATATTGAATGATAACTGCTTTTTCATAAGCGCAATTGTGATTAAATCAGAAACATCTTATTATTCTTTGGTTGACGACTTTTCCATCTAATTCAGGGGAAAATTAATTATTGAATTCTTGGTAATCTTTGTGCATGAAAACAATTATAATTTTGAAGATACTTTAACAGCCATACATGTTTACTAGTACAGAATTGTAGATGAAATATATTATAGACTCAAACGTTTTATCTTTTCATTTTTATTTTAAATATTCAAGGTTCAGTTAGTTTAATTGATACTTAAAAACAAGAGGTAAAAAATCAATCTGGGCAAATTAAATTTCTTCAATTTTGTTAAAGATGATGTATATTTATAACATCATTGCGTAAAATGTAAAATAAGACAAATAGGATTAGCAAAATATCTTCATTATTCACAGTAATGTGGAAGTAACTAGCAAACTGGTAGATCATGACGAGAAATCTTCGACTTCATTCCACTTTTGCAGCAGCAGAATAGATACCAAAAAACAGTTGTTTTATCCTCGGAAACCCAATCACAGAACTGTTAATGCAATTTTACATTTAGTCACATTCAATATAGGAAGTCGGTCACAAAAAAAATAAAATAGGAAATGTAATAAACATTTATGTTCTTTAATGGATTTGCTTGATTGGAAAATATTTTCCGGATATATCTTTGACGCGGCGTGGTTTCCTCTCAAAACTGAAAAAAGGACAAAATGTTGCAGATTTAAAAATAATGTAACAAACCAAATGAATGGAATGGTAAAATTCCTTTCGCTCGCATTGTACAACAAGAAGTAAAGTAAATAGGCCTTTCCACAAGTTTCAGAGATATGTAATTTAGAAAATACTAAGAGATTTAGAAAATATTTATAGCCTTCTTTTGGCTTAGTCCTGTGGTTTCCTCGCTTCCCAGTTCAGTAATTTCCCACTTGAAAAATTCATTCCATATCACTAAGAGCTCTAAAGCAGCAATTTTCCAAAATGGCGGATGCTGGTAAGACCAAGGCGCCTGAATCTTCCTAACCATCTCCTACTTCTACAAGAAAATCTTGAAAATTTTGGCGTAAGTAGTTCAAAATCAGTTTATTCTTAAATCAAAACTGAGATACTAAGAGAAAGTAACTTTTAGAAACTTTTTTGCGATATATAGAAAATATTTTGAGAGTTTCCGAAAAGATATTCAGGCAATTTTTTTATTTGTGGAAAGGCCTTACAAGAAACATTTTACAGTGTTTACTCTGAACCTATTTTGACATCTTCTTGTCATTTTCGATTCTGACTGGTGTACGTTTTTAGCAACTCGATCTGAAAATATATCTCGTTTTATACTAACGCCTTCTCACTTGTGCAAATAGGTCTGACAGACAGGTTAAAAAAGAAATCAAAAACAAAGGCTAGGAAAAAGTCTCAAAAACAGTTGTTATCTCGAAGACATGTTCGACGGATCTTCCATTATTTTCAGTTACAGTAGATTTGAGAGTTTCTGTTTCTGAATTAATTAGTTACCTCTCTGCCTGCTTTTGCCCCGACCATTCAAGAGCAAAAAGTATAAATATATCGAGGTAAGGGAAGCGGGTTTTAACCACCCGGCACTGTGTACACCTATTAAGGAGCTCTCAAAAGCTGTATGGGTACAGTATGGTCAGAGAAAAAATTGGGAAACACACGATGCTATGGAGCAGGCAATGGATCTGATTGGATGGGTGGAGCGATGGGAGACATTTTTTCATTGGGATGGCCTAAACCATTGTGTACTTTCAGAGTTCACTAGGCATGCTGGCTTAGGTATTTTGCGTCGCTTGATGAAATCCTGCTGTAATTGGAAGGAAGCTATGGTTAGGCTTGGCAAAACAGAACTACCAAGTGAAGAGTTCTCGAGAATAGATAACTTTGTACGCACCATGTTTAATAAACAAAAACATACTGGAACTAACCCTAACCCTAAAAGATTTCCAACAATATGGTTCAATGAGTTACTTTTAATTTCAGAATTAATCATATTATAATTATAATTCATTCCAGACCTACATTTTTTGTCAAACTGAAGTCTTTTCTTTTTCTTTTTTCTTCACAGAATGCCTACTCTTAAAGCCACCATTTTTCTCTTGTTGGTTCTCTTGCCGTTATGTCACGCTCGACACTTTGAAGGAACGGATGAAGACAGCGCTGATGGCGACAAACTTTCCCTCGATATGCAAGAGAAACGAGAAGACGAAGCAAAAACCGAGGACTTGGACAGCGCGAAGAAAGACGCCGAAAGCGCCGGAGACAGCCTGGTGCGGCGTTTTCTAAAATCAAGCAGCGATAAAAGACAGGATGACATGCCAGGGATATGGGGACGATCCATCGAATCTAAAGATGGCGACGAAATGCACGCACAACTCGTGAAACTGGATCAGTCGGAAGAAAACGAAGAACGACGAGACGAGGGCGCTGAACCACAACCTCCGGGGCTCTGGGGACGAGAATTTGAAAATAAACTCCCTAAACCAGCCGGAGTATGGGAACGGGGAATTGAAAACAAACAACCACCAGGACTTTGGGGACGAGACATTCAAAATAAACTCCCTAAACCCGCGGGAGTATGGGAACGGGGAATTGAAGACAAACAACCGCCAGGACTCTGGGGACGAGAAATTGAAAATGGACCAAATGGACTCTGGGGACAAGATGCTCAAAACGGACCGCCCGGACTCTGGGGACGAGAACCTCAGCCGCCAGGGCTCTGGGGACGAGAAATTGAAAATCAACCTCCAGGACGGGCACTTTGGGGACGAGGAATGTCCAGAGCAGAAAGCTGGGACGATGTTGACGACAAAGATGAAGTTATTCACGACGATAAATGATAAGGCACGCAAATGGATAAAAAAGTCGAATCAAGGGTAACAACATAGAACGGACTTTCTAATTTTGTTTCGTTCAGAGAAAAAAAAAGAAGTAAAATATTAATCAAATAGAGGTTGTGCTGAAAGCTAAATCAAGAATAAACATCCCTGCAAATATAATTAGTGGTAATAAACCGTTATTATTTATTTATTTATTTATTTTACTTTATTTTATTTTATTTTATTATTATTACCATTATTAACAGGAGCGTGGCATTTGGTTAACATAATTTTCTCATTTTACAGTATCTGTAGAATCGAACGTAGTGTTAAGCCCTGTTCTATGTTATAGAAAATCCCAGATTTATGCCTACTGGGCATAAATTGTACAAATTTCAATTTAAGAACAAATAAACAACGACTTGTAAACGTGTTTATGGATCTTCTGGTTATTTATTTTTTTATTTGTCTGTTTTTTCTCTGGGGGGAGGGGGGGGGATTTGAGGTTCTGTTAGACTGTGGAAGGGGAGAGGGTCTCAATGAAGTTAAGCTTTTGTTCAAAAGGGGCAAAAAAGTTGGCCGTTAGGCGTAAAAACCATGATCCGTAAAATGTATTTTACTTAAAAAAAATTTTTTTTGAAAAATAGCTAGGAAAGTGAAAGTCTCAAGATTTAATGTCAATACTTTTTTTGTCTTTTTTTTGGGACGTTTAAGCCATATTAGTCTGCAAATCTTAAGCTTATTGTAATACCTTCTTCCGTCCTGGAATGGTCCTAAGACCTTTATTGTGTTTTACAGTAATCAAAATAAATTTTTAACTTTTTTTAATTGACTAAAATTATTTGGCAACTTAGTAAAACAATGGAAATTGATTTTTAAAATTTATGTTTACCATAAAGAAAATAAATCATCCGTTAGCCGTAAAAAAACCATAATATTTTAAAACCGTTAGCCGTTAAGTTAGCCATAAGCCACCACCCCACATGAGACCTTCTCGGGGCACGTAAAATATTTAAAG